ATATGGATATTCCTATTCATTAGGAATTTTTACAGATACAAATTTGTCATATTCATTGGGTGTCATGATCTTGAATCCTGACTTCATTATTATTAGCATATGNGTTGGTCTATGTATCCCCATTTCCAATCTATAAGAGAAAATTGCTGAAGTTTGGATCTGCCCATGCTCTCATATTTACTGTTAAGCTTAGTTTTTCCCTGTGATTCCACAAGTGTGATCTCACTAAGCTTACATCAACGGTTTCTTCTCTTGTGCCACGATGAACAACCGGTAATACCTACCAAAAGTCTCCACCAAAAATGATAACCTTTCCTCCAAATGAATGTTGACTACTCATTATGTCTTTTAAGCTCCTATCTAATGTCTCAATTGCAAATCGTTTTGGCCATGGGTGCCTCATCCCATATGATTAACTTGGCTATGCAAATTAGTTCTACAAGTCCACTCTGCTTGGAAATGTTGCATAAGCTTGTCTCTATGGTCTGGATGTGTATTTTGAATTGTGAGTGAGTTTTCATCCCCTGATATTATTGCAACAACTACTCCTGATGTTGTTGTCATAAGAGCTACCTTTCCTCTTTATCTTATGGTGGCAAGCATTGCACGATACAAATATGTCTTTCCTGTTCCTATTGGACCATTAACAAAGAATACTCATGACTGCCCTAAGTTTACTCATTCTAATAATGTTGTATATACGGCCTCTTGTTTGGGGTTAAAGCTCTGTGGCGTATAGTATTCTTCCGGTGGGGTTTCAATGGTCATTTCATTTGCAACATCTCTTGAATGATTTTGTCTTGGTTCAATTATACTTGAATCCTCCACAACTATCAGTACAGGTAAGTCATAATCTCTAGTGCTTTTCCCTATTCTTTCAAGGAATAAACTGATTCTTGCCAATGTGCAAGACAGCTGTGTTGTCGGTTGCTCCTCATAGATTCCTTTGAAGTCATCAGACATGGATTCATAGTGGTCATCCCAGAGTTTTCTTACATCAGAAGGTTCACAGAAAACTAATATTGTTGCATAAACCTACGAAGTGCTTGAGGCATTTGAAATGTTGAGGCCTCATTCAAACATTCTGAGATGTTTTCATCTGATTCTGGAAGTCATCTTTTTTTAGTGGCTTCTTTGNTAGAAGTCATCTTTGAATGATAAATAATGTACTCCATTGACCATCAACAAATCTTCAAATGATGTCGGTCCTCTTACATGGTTTAGTAGGATCCTTAGATAGTATCTCTCACCTTCAACAAGATTTGCACCATTGGCATGACCAATAACCTCTCCCCTTTACCTTCAAGTCCAACATTTACCCTTCTTGTTCCATACATAATGCTCTGGGAATTCTCGATATAGATACTTGCGTGTGTCACCATCTTTTGAGCAAGTTTGAAAGTATTTTGTAAGCATTGTTCCTGTAATGTTGTCCCACAGAAGTACATGTTCTAAATTATAAGTTTTCCAATAACACACTGATTGTTTGTTGGGGAGATGTAACTGTAAATTTATCATCGACGGATACATCTTGTTTAAGTTGAACTCAAAAATTCTCCACATCGACTCTTGCGCCGATACCCATCTTGCATCCTAAAATTGTTGAATCTCATCTATTACAGTTTCGCCATCAGCTAAGGCAATATATACAACAACCCTATCATGACCTTTGTAGATATTACTTACAAAGATATTTGACAGCCTTTAAACCAAAGCATATCTCAACATTTATGTGGCAATTGTATCTTGTAAGAAGGTATGGATTGTGAGGAACTACCCATCTATTATCTAGTACCTTGTTGCGCACTCGTACATGTTGTTTGTCATTTCTTCTTCTATATAATAGGTTTGCATATTTTCCTTGTTTTGTTTTCGAGCAAAACCTTTGAGGATAATGGTTCTTACACTCTCCATTCAACATGCAAGAGTTGTTTTTATTTAGTTCACCACATGGGCCATGCATCATATGTTTCACAACCATCTCATGGAGATATGGATATTCCTATTCATTAGGAATTTTTGCAGATACAAATTTGACATATTCATTGGGTGTCATGATCTTGAATCCTGACTTCATTATTATTAGCATATGTGCATGTGGCAACCCTCTTTCCTGAAATTCAAAGACATGAACATGTGCTGCAACATTCCCAAATATTTCCTTCTTGAATATCTGGTCTTTTAGGTCATGTTGTTTCGCTCAAAACGCCCTTGAAATTAAATATGGTCGGTTTTGAGGCAATTGTCCTGGTTTTAGTTCTGCTTTGATTTCCTTCCACTCTGGATTGCAGGCCATAGTGATGAAAAGATTTGGTTTTCCATATTGTTGCACTAATACCATTGCATCAAAATACTTGCGACGCATGTCACGAGGACCTCTAACAAATGATACAGAAAGAACTTGCCTTTGGTTGACTTGGTTTTCCCTAGTTTCTCTTGCTATGATGCTGCCAACTATTCCCTTAAGCTTGATGTACATATCAATTGCATACTGTTGCAATAATCGCCCGGCTGATAGAAGAGTAAATTGGCTATTCTCTCTAATTTGTAGCCTGAAGGAATAATACTCTCAACATGAAACCTTTCCAAAACTTTCACGTTCCACATCTACATTAAAAGGGAATTTGAAAATTGGTGTTATGCATAAAATTTAAGGTGTTGGTGTACTTATATCTTCACATGTATGTATGTATTAGTACTTTCTTGTTCTCGATTGGAGATATCTTTCGTGGATGTAAAAATTTGGACTGTTGAATTGGTGGTATTTTCTGTTTCTCTGTGCATACCAATATTGTCTCTAACAATTTTCTTTTTGATAATATGATGCCATCCAACCTCTCCTTTGGGAAACAATAGAGGATATTGTAAAGGGTCATAACATCCAAAGTAATGTTTAACTCTATGTCTCCGACCAGAGTGTGCATGTAGTACGATATCTCTCTATAGAGGGGCATTATGGTTATTTCCTTCAATCCATATAACTGCAACTTGATCCGATGAAGGTAAGTTATAAACTCACTGATATAGTCTGATATCCTTTGTAATATGGATCTCAAAATTATCCAAAGAAGGAAAATCTTTTATTGTTCGCAAGAATTGAGCATAAGGGTTTTCATCAAGAACTGTCATCAATTTATTCACAGTAGCCTCATTGAGATCAATACCAGGAATTTTTCTCACTCTATTCTAGACTTCATTATCAGTATCATAGAAGTATAACTGAAAGTAACATGGGCTATTTTGTAAAAGCAACAAGGCTGGAAGGTTCCACACAAAATGTGTAAATCCCTTGTTTAGCCGTTGCAAGATCTTTGTCGAGATTTACTCCAAGAGAGGTGAATGAAAAGATGCTATTATATGCTCGAATGTTCCTTTGAAAATCAATCGCCTTTGTAGTATTAGATACGAATAAATCATGTAGTTCTTCTGGAACTTCTGTTGGCGCCAGTTTTACTTCACCATTGTAGCAACATAATGTTGGGGGTTCATATTGGAATTTATTTGCACCACAATGCACACAAATTGTAGCTTCCTCTAACTCATGTAGACTACAACATACTAGTTGATATATTATTTGGCCTATAAAAAAACATTGGCTATTTTTAGTATGCAATTATGATTGGAATTTTTTATTCCAACTTTTTTTGCATATTTCTAACCTCATTTTCATAGGAGTCTAACTGAGCTCTTAGTAACCAATCGACTCTATGTTTTTTCCATATAATAGGAGTACAAGAATTAGGTTCATGTCTGGGTTCTACAACACTATTGGATATCCTTCTTCTTTCTCCCACTCTTTCGATGTATGACGTCCTTTGTGCATGTGTTAAGCGGGCATATCTACTATTTCCATGTGAATTTTGAGGAATTTCTGCCAGATTCTAGAATTATTATTATTATAAGATTATGGATTATAATATTCTACAGTTTTCCAAAATTAATTGGTATAAGGCACAAACGTTTATGTGATGTCTTTTTGTGAGACACTATTGCACTTTAGTACTTCGATGAAAAACTTAGATTGAAACTGCACAATGTAGCGACACTATTACATAGGCATATTTAATTTGTCTAAAATAAAATATTAGTTTTTGACCATTTTATATCATTGGATTCCTCTATGTTTGCCCACTTATCAACACAGTGAAAAATAAATCTATGGGAATAATGACAGCATCTTGCATAAGCATCATTGCTGATAAGCGATTGTCCTACAAAGCTAGATATTGGAAAAATAAATTGGCACTGACCTGCAATTCTTTAGTAGAAAGGTTGGCCACGCTTTGGATATACTTTGCGAATTAGCAAAGAGTTTTGAAGTCCCAGCAAACCTACTCACAAAAGGATATAATAGTTGAATTCCAAGTCATTACATATAAATTTCAAGCATTCTAAGATAAATTTTTTTATTCATTATAGATTAGCAACATTAACCATATGAACTCAAGTAAATGACAAGAAAATAAATTCAAATTTTAGCTTCTCTAAATTTTAAATGCAAGCATACCGAAGACATTGATATTATATGCATTCGTAAATACAAATAATAAGTTTTACTCTTGGACTTCACTATTTCGAGGAAAAGCTTAGTTTGTAAATGCACAATGTAGAGACAGTGTTACATAAGCATATTTCATTCGTCTAAAATACTACAATACAAGGTAACTTGTGTTAATTTGTGAACATCCAAGAGAATCGCCATACTCAAATTGTTGTGATTCAAAACATTTTCAATTTTCATACCCAAGATGTCTACCCTCTAAGTAGGTTTTCCTTGCTTTGTTTTTTTAATGTAGCAAAATTAATCCATACATTGACCCTTGAGATTTTTTTTTTTTTTAAAAGTAGATTTTTTTTAGGAAAAAAGTTCCTATTTATAAAATAGCACATAATTTGGAATAAATAGTTTCTCAAAAGAAACAGTTTCAGTTTTCATATTCAGTTTTAGTTTGGAGGTATATCAGATTGTTATTGAATCTGATTCCCACGTTTTGTTTCAAATGGTCTTGGGAAGAGCTGAGGTACCTTAGAGATGTAGGGTCATTTTATATTAGATCTGAAGTATTTTTAATAGCATGCATGTTCAGATCATTAATGTGTACAAGGAAGCCAGTGGGTTGGCTGATTTTTTGGCCTCATATGATGTCCAGACTGAATGTAGTAATGATTTCTCAGGTAGTGGTGTCTTGCCTATGGTTGGAAAATCGGTGCTGCTTAAGGACCAATGTTTGTTGCCTAAGTCGAGGATGAAGAAGGTGTTGGTATGGAGGAAAGGCAGGGAAGGGGTCCATGATAGCAATATTGTTGCTGCTTATAGGTTTTTTTGAAGGTTTAGTCGAGGATGAAGAAGGTGATGGTACGGAGGAAAGGCAGGGAAGGGGTCTTTTTGAAGGATTAAAGCCATAAAATGTAATTTTTTTTTGAGGATTTTTTCCTATTTGCTTCTTGTAAATTTTTGATTCATTCAATAAAATTCTTCTTTTTATAAAAAATCTAAATTTATCGGTAGTTAACGTATGCAATTGTGAGTCATATTCTTTTGAGAGGATTCCCTTTGATTGTTTATTGGCAATTGTGGAGGGAGAGATGTAGGAGGGTTTATGATGAAGGTAGGCAGTCTGTCTTTTCTATTTTTCTAAAAGTGTGCTCTGTTCTTGCCTTAGGAGTGGAAAAGGAACGTAAGGTAAGGTTTAAAGCTAATTGGGTTGGATGGAGTTTTCCTTTGAATGGTATGCTATAACTGAATGTCGATAGAGCATTAAAGGGGAATCCTGGTTTGGCAGGAGAAGGAGCAATGGTGAGGAATCAGTGGGGGCAGCTGGTTTTGGCTACGTCATTTTTGTATGGAGAGTGTTAGAACATGGAGGCTAAGTTACGTGCTTTGCTTGATTGTTTGTGTCTGATTGAGCGATATGATCTGATGGGGTTTTAATATTAGGTGGAGGCTGACTCTTTGGTGATGGTGCAGATGCTAAAGGGACATCTTTGAGCTTGGAAGTCTTGGGGAATTGTAAGGCAGATTCAAGAGAAATTGACAAGGTTGATGCATAGGCTGACACATGTATATCGAGAAGCTAATCAGATGGTTGATTATTTGGCTAATCTGGCAAAACAAATTTTTGGTCAAACGCACAAACAAACAACACACACAAGTCCACACATGGCAAAGCTCAAACACACTTGGCAGTATAGGATAGGGCTTCTACTGATTTTTTGCAGGCTGTGAGGCTTCCCCTTCAACCAAGGTTGCTGCTTATGTAGGATCTTCAAGGAGTGAAGACGATGCGGAAGAAAAGAGTTGTATTTTGACAGATTTTGTTCAGTGCATGAAAATCTCTGAATGTAAATTTTGTGGAATGAAATAAAGTGTTGATTTTTTTAGTTAATGTATGCAATTACATTTTCTTTCTATCTTTTTTATCGTGGTAAACAAAACAAACAAAGGGAACAACAATTTTAAGGAAAAACAAATTTTGTTCATACATTCAAAATTTCTCTGAAAAAACATATATCTATTTGCAAGTTTCGCTGTACAATATATAACAATAATAGAACACAAACAAACTTGGAAAAATAAGAAGAAACAAATTAGGTTCATACATTCAAAATTTCACTGAAAAACATATATTCTTTCTACTTTATGTGATGGGTGTATCTGCTGTTTTTTGTGAAGTAGGAAATTTTTATTGTCAATCATGATGACTGCCATAAATTTTCAAGCAGTGAAGGTTACAATCTCATTAAAAAAAATGTTACAAAGAATGTAAACATAATGCTTCCTGATAGGAAAATGATTCTATGCAATGTATATGATAGTAGGATTTAAATAGTGATTTGTGGTGGTTCTGTTAATGCACTTTCCTTGATGTAGAGGCCGCACTAATGAAGCTTAATCAAGGTTCTTGGCGTGAACTATAAGCTTAATTCCTGAAGACTGTGTGAAGACAATTGAAAGTTTTACCTTGCCAAGGATTTCACAAGATGAAATTGCAATTGAAAATTGTTGATTATTTCAGTCAAGTTTGATTCTGATTTTGTAGACAAGTGACTAATTTCTCCGGTCTTTGGACTAATTGTTACAATATGAACTCAACTTTTACCCATTCATTTTTAAATTATGTGCGTTGATTGATTTCAGATTCTATTGCGGGATTCAAATTTACATTATCAAGATAACTCTAAAAGTTTCGAGAGATATTCGAATGACCCTTACACATCTATCATCTTATTATTTTCATGTTGCTATTAACTCTGTCATGTGTGAGATACGATAAGCGAAAGGTCATATCAAGCTATTATTGCATAGCATTGCAAAACTGTTAAATATGTAATTCAATGGTGTGTTTATAGAGATATAACAGAGTTTTTTATCCATGGCAGGATCTGGGAAATGATCTTTACCGCAAATCTTTAGAAATGGCTACTAAGGTAAAATTTTCTTATAGTTCTTTATGCTCTTCGTGATTATTATGGTGTTGACAATTACAGCAGATATCCTTGACGTAAAAGCAACTTTCATATGAAGTTAGAAGAGTTTGATATGATTTTTTTCTTTAAGATAGTTAGAAAATTATTGGTTAATCGTATAGGCACATTATTACTGATCGACTTTGTATTTGGTTTAAATTTGGCTTACAAATGTAAAGAAAGGCTACAATTCTCTGCCATGAGTTGTCAAAGCGTTGATTTGTCTGTTATTTATCTGCTTGAGTTCTTGTTAGCTATATTCCAGTTATATGTTTAGCTCACAGAGTTATCTTTGATTATTCAAAAACTAAGATATAAGGTGTGAAAATCTGATTGTGGGATTTTTCTGAGTTGTACTAGCTAGTTTGGTGCATCAAAGTGGCTAGTGTATGAATTATTTGCACTTTTGTAATAATTTCTCACCCTTTTTATTTACACTGCTGTAATATGGCTATCTTTACCTTAATTGCTCTGGGGAAGGCTGGTTTGAATTTGCTTGTTCTCTTGCTTTTAGTTGAGTAGCCCATGTTTTAGCTGAATTTGGTTGAATCAAATGGATGCTACTTTAATACTACTTGGAGCCTTGATAGAAAATAAGAGGAAGTGACTTCTAAGGAGAATTATTAGGACTGGAGTTAAGAGCTTAACAGTTTTGGGAATTAAAAAGTATAGGATTGTGTTAAACAATAATGACATTACTCTGATACCAAAACTTACTGTCACCTATCTGAGCATGAGATGATATAGTTGTTCAGAGTGGATGAATATTGTTTTCAAAATTTTGATTCAGTGGTTGGGTTGATGTTCACATGTAACTGCAGAGCGTAGACATTTGTCCTATCAGTAAAAGTCTATGGAATTTGAGGCATTTCCTGATAAAATTGTACCTTCTTTTCTTTTGTTGGTCTCCTTATGCATCAATAACTCATTGGAATGTCATTTTGACTGCGTATAGATTGTATTGAAATGTTTTTGGTCGCATGCTTTTTTACTTTCACAAAATATGCTTTTTTTGTTAAACATAATTCATAGTATACATAAAAGAGAGCTATAAAAAAGAAAATTATCAAACAGCACAACCAATATAGCATGTTCCTTGATCCACATACGTAAAAACCAAAAGCCCAAAACAACAATAACTCCTCGAGTAGTCCCGCAACAACAAGAACAACAAAAATAAGAAAGTAAAACATGGGCCTCCAAAAAGTAAGAATTCCATAAAACATAATCAGAATAATATTATTATGATCTTCAAGAGGCCAATTGAGTTTGCACAATTCCAAAACAATGTAAAAATCTACAATTAAAACTTTTCAATTTATATCTCTTTCCACATTTTCACAGCAACCAAACATCATAATTAGAAAGGTACGAGGGAAAAAGAAAACGAAAACCTTGTTGTATTTTATATCAATGGTCTAGTTTTTTTTTTGATTCTCTTGCTAATTTTATGAGGAAACGGTTGTTACTCACTCTGGTTTTCTATGGACATCTGTAATTTTGATTGCGAATGTTACTGCTTGGGGATAATATCTTATCTTTCAGAATCTACTTTTGGTATTTGGAATGAATTGCAATCGCTCATGCATAATCAGAGAGTATTAAATGTGTTATACATCTTATACGTGCTATGTACTGATGAGTAAGATAGTTGGTGTCAGTGGTGTGCTTAATTGTAGTCAGAAGAATGCTTGAATTTTAGCTTTTTTCTTTTTTGACAATAGGCCTATCACAAAATATGAGATAATTTTTGGGTCGTTGTTTTGATATGACGGTTTGTCGGTTTTCAATTTGAATATATTGTAAGAGAAAAATATTTAGATTTATTGTGACGCCTCTAAAATCGGGGGTCCTGTTGACAACTCGTCAACCTGCAGAAATGTTCATCAGTGTCGCTTGATCCCATTACCAGAATTTTACACCACACGTAACACCCGTGTTCCATGAATCATTTAATCCTATCGAGGTTCAATGTACCCCAATATATCTCATTTAAGGCTCATTTGTATCATTGGAACTAAAGAATGCATAACCTAAGGCCTTAGAAGAAAAAAAAAAATTTAAATCTGCCAAAGTATACCGGTATGCATGGTTCATTGGACCTCACCGTACCGGTACGCTGAGCCCATTTTTCCTTGTTTTACCTGTTTTACATTCCACGTCCATTCCAAACTTAACCAAATTCATCTCAAACATATATAAAGATGTTTTCTACATTATACATGATCCATACAAGTCTATTACAACTCATTCCATACATTTCATTGAATTACATGAAATTTCATATGGAAACTAAGTTTTTCACAATAATGTTACAAAAACTCACTATTTACACAAAATGTGTTATACAAGCCATAAGTTGGCTCTCTTCATCCTTGAGGTCCCGTGTGAGGGCCTTCCATCGGTGTATACCCCGCACCTGAAATATTTTTCTGTATAGGGTAAGCCAACGCCTAGTAAAGTATTTCCTACAGGGCCTACTCCCAACCTAAGTGCATATGCAATGTTCACATGCAACATTTCATAAAGAACAATCATTTTAATCAAGACTAATCAATCTATGTTGGAATTCAACATATCATGCCATGATATGAGATGATACCCACTGATGCAACTCAGCCTGAGCCCTCACCGGCTCCTTTCCCCCATGCAATGCCATGAGTATTAAGACGGGGTTTTCCAACCCCTGCCATTGGCGTCACTCATCCAATGACCATTGTAAGATTTTCTAGGGTCTTTGTAGGGGTGGATGTTTATGGACTCACACCAAGGGTCACCTAACCCAGACGAAATTTACGGACTTCCACCGAGGGTTCCACATACACCCACACACTTCATGGACTGTACCAAGGGAGTGTGT